AAGTTAAAAGGGAGGGAGAAATGGCAAGAAAGAAATAACACCCAAAGTCATAGCAAACTAAACTCAATGTCTGTTATGATGGTACAATGAGAATGGCAAAGCAAGGAAATGGATTAAATGGTTTACCTGGATCTCAGCAAAGCTTCTGATAAATGGCTAAAGGCAGCTAAGTATCTGTGAATGATTACCACACAGAGAGAGAACACATAGACATCATTTTACTGGTTCAATGGGCTGATGCTTAATACAGACCACAGTGGCTTGACTTGGGATTTTGTCCTGGCTTTCTCCTGTTTTTTTTTTTTTTTTCATTTTTTCCAATAAAGGTATAAAATTAATGACTTTCCATTTATTGATGTCATTGAGACAAGATAGCAATTATACAATATGACAGAATTAGAGTCCACATATTTTAAACAGATAGGAATGATGGCTTCAATATAGGATGAAAAGTTTGACAAATGCAGGCCTAATTCTTGTCTCAAAGAGCAGAAGCACACACATTCTATGAGGAATCAAGATGTTGCTCAGTTTAAAATTATACTTTACTATGAAGATAATGATAAAAGATGCCTTGCATTGGTAGCCATTAAGATTATTCCTAATCCTCAGAACGACTGCAAGTTGCATTGTCTCCAATTAGAGGTAAGGAAACTAAGGGCAAGAAGTCAGATAATGTGAAACAACTCTCACAAGTTAAGAAGTTTGGATTCAAATCAAATTTGTCTAATCTCCAAGTGCATGCTCCTTCCAAGATGGCAGACTGCTTCACCATCCATATTCAACATGGGAGCCAGACTTACCTCATTTGATTTCTAACTCCCATATGTGCTGTGGCCATATTTTCTTTAACACTTTAATTCTTGAGGCTACATCAACATGTCCCTATCTTTTTATAAAGGGAAGAAATGTCATCTTTTGGTACATAGTTTCCTTCAATCAGGTATGAACTAATTCACCTCAAACATTGTAATCTTCCCAGTGTGATATAGAACAGAGGTTGGCAAACTATGGTCTACAGGCCAAATCCAGCCCACATCCTATTTTTGTTCAGCCCACAAACTAAGAATAGCATTTTGCATTCTTAAATGGTTAAGAAACAAATCAAAGGAATATTTCATGACACATAAAGATTATATGAAATTCAAATTCCAGTGTCCGTAAATAAAATTTTATTGGAACACAGCCATGCTCATTCATTTACACATTGTCCCTGGCTGCTTTCATGCTACAAAGGCAGAGTTGAGTAGTTGTGACAGAGACCATATGTGGCGTTTTCATTGCTTCGCGCTGCTGTTAACACACTACAAATCTCAGTGATGGTTATAATTCGACAGCATTTCAAGTGTCACACATATTGTCATACATTTTATTATTTTTTTTACTAGTGCATATTCATCATGTCAAAAAGTTTTTAAAAAGTGAACTTTGAGTGTTGCGCTTTTAAGGCACAGTGGAGTGTGGATTATTTTGTTATACAACTATATGGCAAAGCATTGTGTTTATTATGCAATGACACTTTAGCTGTGCTAGAAGAATATATTTTCAGACTAAGCACTCATTATAGTTTCTCCAACTCACAGGAAACCAACAGTCAGAACAATCAGAAAACTTAACACATAACATCTACTTACAGCAGAATTTAATAACAACAACAACAAGGATAGGCGTGCAAAGTAACTTTCTGATTGGCTCATTTGTTAACCACACAAAGGAAGCATTTTGCTGATGGTGAATTAGAATTTTGTTTGATTGTAGCAACAACAATAAAGTGTGTTCAGAGAAAATAAATGTATTTATGCCTACTAGCTTTTCAGCAAAAACCACCGATTGAAGGCATGAGGACATTGTGGCAATACCAACAATTAAAAAAAAAAAAACAAAGCAAATGACTTCAAGTACTTTTTCTTGGCTTTTGAAGAGTCAACAAACGTTACCAATACTGTCCAGTTGTTTACAATGAGAAGTCAATTTTGAGTTTGAAGTGCCTCAAGAATTAGCCTTAATGGATAGTTTACAAGAAACAACTACAGGAAAAAATATTTTCAAAAAAGTTAAGAAAACATCAATTCAATACAACCTGAAGTGGATCTGCTAAGATGTGTTTCAAGTGATGGTGGTAAAGTACCTGTGGAGTAGGGGGAGAGCACACATTTACAAAGCTAGTGAAAAGTCAGATATTTAAAGTCAATGTATTCATTGTATTATTCATCAGCAGGTATTTCATGGAAAATATCTGACTCTATGATGTTACTGAACTAATAAAGTCAATGGTGACTTTCATTCACTTGTGGTCTTAGCAATCATCGGTTCCATTAAGTTTTGTCAGAAACAGAAGTTGAATATTCTGACTTGCCCAACTATCAGCAGTTCAATGGCAGTGGTAAAGTTTTATCGCAAATTTTTGAGCCTAGACCCAAGACAAAAACTGTTAAGAAATGATCAGAATCATTCCTCAACTATTATCATCAAACACTGAATAGCTTTGGAAATTAGTTTTTGCTAAAGACTTGATAATGTTTCTTAATAAATTCAAACTAAAATTACAAGGCAAAACGGCACTAATGTGAAACGCACACCGCAACAGGCCACTTTGATGACAACTACCGCGTAAGTCACAAGTAACGTCAAGCTGTTCTATGGACTTCCCATGCTGTCAAGTTAAAAGAAGATCTGCCTTCCCACAGAGATTTGCAGAGGATGTAGTCTCCAACTTCACTTTTTGGGCCTCAATCAAGTGCAAACGAAAGTCTTCTATTTCAGTGTCAACTTAAACTTAAAATTGAGCAGCCACCCAGCCTTCAAAGCAAGCGATTAATCTGCAGTGTAATGATATGCTGGAAGGCAAATACCAAGCACAGACTCAGAACCTAATAGAATTCTATAAATACTGTCCAAATGATGATATGTTTAATTAAAATCACACACTTGAGGATTGATAACAGTGTTTGTTAACATCTCTCTGGGTAAAAAGAGATTTTCAAAGATGAAATATGAAAACTTAATGTTACAGATCTGTGTTAACAGATGAATAATCGCAATTAACTGTTGATCCCAATTCAGCGAAATATTACCGCCTCAAAATAATCCAATTCTTATTAATAAATCTTTATTACAAAAAAATTGTACTCAAGTGTTCATCTATTTTGAATGTTATCAATAAAGTACATGGAAATTAGTTTTCTTTCTCATTACAAAAGTATTTAATAGTCTCTTGGCCTCAAAAACGTAAACTTTGCAAAAAGAGTTTGCCAACCCCTCGTCTAGAGAAGTGCCAGTGTCCATTTAAGTAAAATCATAGCATGGTAAATGTCCCAGCCACCAGTTATTCTAATAAAACTATTTTCATATCCCAGTAACATTACCTGACAATACTTCTATACCTGACTACAATCAAAGATAGCCCTTCCTTTGGTTATGATCCATAGAGTCTCAGGAAGAAAAAAGTTATCTAAGAAAATAACGCAAAGTTCTGTATTAGCACTGGGCAGAGAAAAACTACTTATTCTGACCACAAGCCAAGCCTAATAATTCTATTTATTTGTACTTTAGTAGAAAAAATATTTTAACTCTTCTAACTCAATAATTTCACTAAAATCCTAAAAAGCTAAACAAAAACAAAACACACCAATGAGGTACTAGCAACCCACCTTTTTACCTGAGTCCAAAACATTTTCCAAATGTATTCATTTGCTATTAGTGATTTCCAGTATTAGTAACATTCAGATTTCTAAACTCTCAATAATTTTTTCTAATTTAAAACAAGTAGGTTTGAGTTTGACTTTATGCTACATTTCGTTTCTTTCAGCATGATAGTGGATATTTGTTGATTTTTGCCTGCTGAGTAACTAGTTCTTCTTCTTCGGATAAACACAACCTTTATTTTCTTTTGGGTGATACACCTCCCTGTCTACCTCATTTCTCAGTCTCAATGCGTCTTCTGAAGGTCAACTCATGACCAGGCTAAGCTATCAGAACAATATTACCTTGCCCATGGTAACTGGCTCGGGGTGGGCATGTGAACCAATGATGGAATGTCAGTCTTGGGATTTTCCTAGCACTGTTGAGAAAAACAGTTTTTGTTTTTGCTGAGGTTACTAAAATGGTAGAGAAGAAATCTCAAGCTCCTGGGTAGTCACTTAATCATCCCACACTGAAAGTCTAGCTGATAGTGAAACAGCAGAGTAGAAAGCAAAACATTCAGAGAGACAGATGGGATTAAGGATGTCTGGAGCCAGTCCTACCACTGGCCTCTGTGGTTACATGAGATCACACACACTTCTATTGCTCCAGCCAGGTAAAGCTTCTGTTGACCACTGCAACTCTACAATCATTCCGATGAGAACACCAATCTTGAGCTGGATCTTTCTAGATAGGGCCTTTCGTTGTGTCATCTCCAGATCTTTCTCCTACATCTGAATGTCTCTGGTGCTGACTAGACGCATCACTCGTGTGCTGAGTGTATGCCGCTCTGCCTGATCTTACCTGTAGCATCCATCACTAAGTAGAGCACCATTAATGTCATCTGTAAAACCCCGTAAAGCACCGAGGACAACGATAAACCATGAGTTACTGTCACAAACAGAGTATGTACTCTTTATTTGCAAAGCTTTGCTAAGTCTTTTGCTTAAAATCAGATTAAAATCCTTACTCTCTGTAAAGAGAACAGTTATGATTTCATTTTCAAAAAAGAATGGTTCTGTTTGGTGATTTCCCGTAATTTATCAGAAGACATTAGTTTAATGAACTTCTCTAGGGAGTACTTCAGAGAAGTTTTTAAAATGTCAAGACACAAACCAAAGTTCACGGACTTCCTGGTAGTGGTCTTTACAACCAGGTTTGGACACAGCAAAAGGACACGTAATCAAAACAACAGGAGGATTCCTTTAACTCTGCCTCTCACTTACAACAGACCAAATGAATGAACTGTTAAAATTCCTATCTTAAATCAGTGAGTGGCAATATTTTGCCGATGATTAGAGGAAATGGGAAAGAGAAAGTTTAAAAAAACTACTTTTATTTTTTTATTTCTTTTTTCAGTTACATACTTTTAAACAGGGATGTGTTTCATTATTCAGACATTCAGGCAATGTTGACTTCATTAGTGTTGACAGAAAAGAAGCATAAAAATGCAAAACATTGTTGGCTTAACCTGAACATACCTGCATTACCTATTACTGACCAGTTCGTGTTGCCAAAAGACTTATTCCTTGGCATTAAAATGGAGCAATTAAAAATATTGCTAAAAAGCAAATGTCTACACACTGGTCTTTGCAGCAAATAAGGGTATTTATACTTTTTAAAATATTTTAAGTCCATAATTGGATTAATATACACACCTTCTTATGTATAAGGAGTTCAGATCATATAAACACTGTACAATCCAAAAAACCCTACTGACAATAAAACTAAATAGACTTATGATAAGAAATACAGATACCGCATGTATTTACAAATATCATAGACACACAGATTTGGTCAAATACTGTAAAGAAAGAAGTGGTTTCACATTATAATGGCCAAAACATCCATCTACCTTGCTCAAAGCAAACAAAAATAAAAACTCAGTATGTAATTCCTGTAGTTTAAGACATCATGACAGTATATGAACAGAATGAAAACTACTAACCAAATTATACAGCAAACATTTTCTGAGCTGAATGTAAGTCTTTAAAATCAAGGAAAAGATCATTCACAGGATTTGGAACAACAATGATAAACAATGTCCTGATTTGTGGTGTTCATATGGGTGCCTAATTCATCAAAGAGAATGCATTAAGCATTTTGGCTAATAAGAAAAATAAATTACAAAAGACAATTAAATCCCTGTAAATGTAATAATGAAGTTTAAAACATGTGGGTGTATTTACTTTAACACACATTTTAAATGTTACCTTGAGACAATAAAAATAAATAAGCATGCCCGGAGGCACGCACTCACAAAGAACAAACTGCATGGAGCAAGGACTAACTCCAGAAATGAAAAGGAAGGATGAGATTTGTTCAACATAATTAACATTTGTAGCCAGTTTTGTCTGTCTGTTTGTTTTAACCCTTCTTGAAAATTCTGGCTAGAATGTGACTCAAGTACTCCTGCGTCTTTATGGCTTAAAACAAAGCATACTGGAAAGTGGAATGGGCTTCCTTTTTGTAAGAATGACTTCTTTGTTCATGTGCAGGCACTTCAAAAGACTGTGGAGGCAAAGCACCTGACCCATCCTCTCCAAGGTATTTTCCAATCATTGAAATTATGCTAGAGAGCGGGAAGATTCCAGAGAAACAGCAGAGGTGAATACAAGAGACTAATGTGCACAGAGGCGAGAGAGTGACCCAGTTTTTTATTGCTGGGGTTTTTCTTTTTTTAATCAAAGAGCAAAATAATTAATAAACAGACACCATTGCATGGCACATCCAAAGTTCCTGCGTAAGGGAGAATGCAATCACTCAGCAGTAGGTGGGGGCGGGGGGTCTCTTTAGGCTTCAACCTTACACATCGCAACAAGGTTCACATTTATTTCTTCTTAGTGTATTTCTTTGAAATTCCAACACTTATCACTTCTTTAAGTATTCACTTCTTGCTGTCTAACATACATTATCATCTGGAAGCAGAAAGTTACATTATACAAAGATTTTGCATTTTTTAAAAATAAGTGCGTTTGCCGCTTCTGCAACACGGTACTTGACATAGTGGTGCAAGAACAGGAGAGCTCGTGTTTACCAGGCTGCTGCCACCACTGGCCCACCACCGTCTGCCAAAGCACAGAGCTCTGTCCTCAGGACCTCTGGGCGGTGACTGTACCATGATTCCGCAGAGAGAATGTTAGTATGACCCGTGAGTAACAGTACCATCACAATACTGAAATCAATGGAGACGTCACAAAATAGGAACTTCTCAAAGAATAACTTCTTTGAAACATTGGGGCAATGCTGTTGTCTGTGGCACCGCCCACTGGGGAAAGAAACTGCTGTTTGATTATGCTCTTGCAGAAGTTATAAAAAACAGATTAGGCATAAAAGTGGTTGACATTTAAGGTACTGCCTTCTACAATAGAAGAGCTTCTAAAAACATGTTCTATAGAACTGTATTCGTCAAGACCATCTCATTGGTCCGTTCCATTCATCGATGGGCAAAGCACTCATGTTTCGACAACACTTTAAAGCTTCCATAAAAGTTAAATTAGAAAAAAATATGAATGTAAGACAACCACAAAATGAAGTATGAAAGTATGACATTTTTGTTTCTAAGAGTGAGTCCTTGAAAATACATGTGGTCACTACAGAGATGATTTAATTGCGAGACAGCAGATGACGCGTGAGTAGCTCCCCGGTCTGTCTGTGTCCAGGGTCATTTGTGGCGCTGGATGGTTTTCCTTTTCCTTCGTTTGAAAAAACAGCAGCACCTGCAGACAAGGGAAATACTTTTCTTTACTCTAAAAGTCCTAAAATGTTACAAAGTAAAGCTGAATCTATCATATGAGCTTACATGATTGTAACAAGCAACATGCTAGTGCAAGGTGAACAGTGAGTACACCAAGGCAGCATATATATTAGTGAAATGGGACAGAGCTGTTACCATTACATTTCATCGACATGCCTTTTAAGAACAGCAAGACACTGAATGCAACATAAAAAGGAGCCACAAAATTCAAAAGGCTTTTTACCAAGACTACCTGAGAAGGTAAAGCTGAATCCCAGCTGACCCACCATTTTCACTTAGGATGTTTGATAATCTCTGACAGGGGCAAGCTTTTATGTTTGTCCTATGTATCCTTGCTCACTGATGTTTATACATGACTGCTGATGCCCTTATTAAAAAGGCAATAAATAATGACTCTAACATTAAATTTTATTTTCGCCAAGAATCAGTTTAGACTCCAAAAGTGAAGAAGAAAAATCCAGCATACACTAGTCAATAAACATTTCCCACCATATTAACAAACTAGAAAAAAGAAAATACATTAAACAGAATGTCAAGGCTGGCACTTTTAAATTCTTTAAAAGTTAAAGAGGATCAAGCTTATTAGAAGTTATTTTAGTGAAGGTAAAACTTATGCTTAACATTTAAAATAGCACAATCCAAGTGATTCAGGTTTATAAGTCAAAACTATGTATTTCACATGATGAAGTTCTGATTTTGATTCCTAGAAAAAAATCTAGACATGATCCCTGAGATAACAGTTTCTCTCACAGTAGTTCTCCTGGTCACAAGACACAGCACATCTTGGCTGCTGTGGAACAAGCCTGAGGCTGCGTGAACTGAAAAATGAGAATCACTCATCAGTTCCCAGCACAAAAAATGAAACACACACACACCAGACCATACTCTGAAAGCCTGGCTTTCCTTCAAATAAAGATATAAAGATATGGCTTCAAGCAAAAAGATATAGCATTTTTCCCTTCTACCCTCGAAAGTCAAGTCTATCAGAACATACAAAATGACAGGCGCTACACACAGTGAGGCACCTTTTTCTAATAGCCTTTGAGCAGTCACCTCTAATTCCTGGGGCTGAGTTTGTTTTAGGTACAGGCAAGTATGGCTGGCTATCCCTTAGCTATCCCCAAATTTTCCAACATTGAAGTACAGTGCGTGTGTGTATCTAAGTATTTTGTAATTACAAGGATGTACGTGGTGTGTGTGTTTATAGTCTTATTTTATAATGCAAGCCATATTTATATACATGATTTCATCACTAAAAGCTGCCATGTCAAAGACTGTGCATAATATGACCTGACCTTATAAAGACGTTCCTATAATTCCTATCAACCTGCATTCATAAAATATTAACTCGACGTTGTAAGCTAAGCATAACAGATACCATGTTGTTTCAAGTGTCCTATCCAGCAACAGATTATGAAAAATGAAATAACTGCGAGATACGTTCTATATATTCCTGCAAGACAAATGTAAGCAGAAATCCACACTGTCCAGTTGAGTTACACAATCTCTCTGCTCACATTAGCTCACATTTCAGATCACTTACGATGATTTATGGCATGATGACCCCAGTGTGGGGGCACTGAAAGCCAAAGTATACAACTGTGTGTTTTAAGTGCACCAAATAGCACAGAATGATTAGAACAGGGACAGCGAATAATTCAAAATTGTGAATTAGCTGATAAAGATTCAGCTAGAAATATGTACTCTTACAAAGATAAACAACTGGAAAGAACTAAAATGAATTACTCAATCAAGGGCCTAGTGATGGGCTGCCATAGTAAAATAAGACCCTGAGGATAAGAGATTTTTCCTGGATTTAAAAAAATAAGTCAAATTTATTTTTATCCGTCAGCTACCTAATACTATCTCAGATTTCATATAAATTTTCTGAAACAGAAAAGCAAAATCCAACATTATCTAAGCCAAAAAACTCTAAAAAATATAAATTAATTTATACTTTTTCTTTTACTATATACTATACATTTTTATTTTTTATTTTACTTTATTTTTATAGTATAAAAATATAAATTACTCCAAAATGAACTTTTCAATGAGACTTGGAAAAGTGAGAAAATGTGTATATGGTAGAAAAAAACATGAAACAATAGGTATGTAGAAGAATCAGGAAAATATTTATAATATTTAGTTTAAAAATCTGATAATGTGGAAACAGAAGTTCATTAACTGTTCAATATAAAGTATAAATACTGTCATTGGTCTTTTCAAATTACAAAATACATTCTTTCAAAAATTTTCTACAACAGGTATTTTAAGTTATATAATGCCTTTCATATAAGGAATTTAGTAGGTATTTTAACAAACAAGCTCAAGTCCCAGCTTTCCCGCGCTTGTATACGCGATTCGTCCCCCCTAGTTTATTTTTCCAGTATTGCTTTCAGTTCTGAGAGTCAAGTTCTTCCCGTGTATAAGCTTTCCTTTATTAGCGTAAGTATTACTGAATATATAAATCTATGATTAGCATTTATTTGAGACTAAGTAAGATTTTCATATGAATTCTAATGATCTGGATCCTTTAAATTCAAACACAATCTAAAAAGACACCCTTTTTTTTAGAAATAAACCCCACTAAAGTATTTGCAGTACAGCTAGCATGCTATTAACGTGACTACCACCAGAGGGCAGCATTGCTTCGTGTGCTAAGAAGCCCACTACAAAGACAACAAAGATGCTCTCAAAATACGGTGTTACTTACAAAAGTCAAAAAGTAAATTGATATTTTAACCTCATGGCTTATTTACTAAGATAAAAGTCAGTTCCAAAACATCTTATTTATAGTTCTAGTAATTAAGAAATTAGGCCTCATTTCAACTGTTTCTTTTTCCTAGCACTTACTCTCCAATACAGCTGCTCCCACACAGCACACTTTTATTTCACTGTGATTACTAACTCCTACTTTGAAATCCTTACCCAGGCAGGACAACTTCACTGATCTTCCCAGCTGGAAGTACATATTCCATTCTCCAGACTCCAATAACATGCATCCTTTTTCCATAGTGCTAATCCCACAATACTTTGTATTAGACCAATGACCCTCAACATTTATTCTCACTAGGACCACCTTGAAAACTTTTATAAAATACTAATAACCAGACTCCACTACAGAGCAACTAGTAAAATCAGAAACTTCCAAAGTACAGTTTAAGGATTAGCATAGTTTTCAAACCCCTCCAGTGACTGTAACGTGAAGTCGGGGCTGAGAACCACTGTGAAAGTCCCTGTGTGCTTTCCAGCCTCCCTAATGGTACACACACAGCCTTCACCTATCTCCATAGTGATCATATTAGCAGGCAAACGAGATCTGGATAGTAAAAGCTGCAAGAAGGAAAAAAAGAGAAGGGGGAGGGGGATGATTTCCTATCACTTAAAAAATAAATAACTAAATTAAAGGAAATTTTGTTCACTTAAATTCCTGAAAAGAATGATGAAGATGCCATCATGTGTCATCACCTGCCTTAAAATTCTCAACTACAGTCAACAAATAAGGCAAAATCTAAGAATGAAGGAGTCATTTTATGTATATATTGTACTAGAATATTTTCCATCCATAGGAAATCATAAATTTACCCCAATGAGGTACTACTCTGAGAAATGTGAGAACGATAAATGCCCATCATGGAATATTCTACTTAATGGGATGGGTGAAAGTAATTTCTGCCAATCACAGGTAAAAAGAATGATGGAAAGGAAACAGATTCTGAGAGAGAAATTCTAAGCAGGTCCCGAACTAGAGACCAGAACCCAAAACACACATATAAAATGGTGGCAGAGAGAAGATGCAATTAGAGTAAGAGCCAGGCACAGTGGCTCGCACACCCGTAGTCCTAGCTACTGGAGAAGCTAAGGTGGGAGATTCACATCAGCCCAGCAGTTCAAAGCAAGCCTGGGCAACCTTGCTAAACACCACCTCCAAAAAATCAAAATAAGAAAGAAAAGAAAATCATGCTTATAATTCATAGTCACAGACTAAGAGGATATAAGGAACACAATAACGAATGTGCAAATGTATTAAAATAAACCTAGTCAAAGGAAACACAAAACCTTTTGTGCTTAAAGGAGTTCGTACCCAGTCAAGAAGTAGGAAGGTTATGATGTGCTGAACCCTCCTGAGCTAAAGCTTTGCTGATCTCATGGATTGCTACCTTTTCTCTTTGTGTTAACAACCACTTTGTTAAAATATAATTCACATGTCATAAAATTCACTTTCTGACAGTGAATAATTCAACATATACTTTTAGCACATTCACAGAGTTGTGCAGCCGTCACCACTATCGAATCTCACAACACTGTCGTCACCCCATAAAGAAATCCATTATGTATTCTCTAACTTCCTCTCTCTTCCCTAGGTAATCAATAACCTTTTGGTGTGTACCTCTATATTCGCCTGTTCTGGACATTTCATTTAAATGGAATCACAAAATGTGGTCTTTTGTGTCTGACTTCCTTCACTCAGCATAATGTTTCAATTTAATTTCTTCCCGTTGCCACATCCCCACTCTGTGGCGCATACTGTGTTAGCTACTGAGGATGTGATGATGAAAAAGGCCTTGTTTTCAAAACATTCAAGAAGTTTCAAGAAGCAGGAGATACATAAAAAGAATAGTATTAACAAAGGCAGACTTAAGGAAGCAAATGGAATATAGGGTTCAGAATAGAAAATGGGGCTGGAAACCCAGGCAGGGGATAGAGGACGAAGGGTTTGAGGAAACTGGTGCCACGCCAGGGAATCTGGACATGATGTTGCAAGCAATGGAGAACCTTTCCTTCAGGAAAGCCTTCCCACCATCTCCTTCTTTCTCATCCTCTAACACCTACAGATAGAGACCCAAACCCAAAAGCACACACATTCACACTCATCCTGGTGAAATAAATTATTGTGCCAGTCTTCAAAGCCACATCCATAAAGCATTCTCTTGACCATCCAGGTCAGGAAGCAATCTTTCTCTTTACAAATGCTAACCATTTTTTATACTTTTCTCCTAGTATTACTCATACACAGGCACTTTGTAATGCAACTGAAATCTTTCCTGCTAGTTTGTAATCTACTTAAGAGCAAGGACCGTAGCAGTGTTAATTGCTGATTGAATAAACAGATAAACATAATAGATTTTATTGAAAACAGGTCTCTGGGAGGATATGAACACAAAAAAAGTTGGACTCAATGAAGAGTGTGAGTATGGAGTGAACACAGTGTAGTCAATGAAGAGGGTGGGTATGGAGTGAACACAGTGTAGTCAATGAAGAGGGTGGGTATGGAGTGAACACAGTGTAGTCAATGAAGAGGGTGGGTATGGAGTGAATACAGCAGAGTCAATGAAGAATGTGGGTACAGAGTGAACATAGCTGGAGTCAATGAAGAGGGTAGGTATGGAGTGAACACAGCAAAGTCAATGAAAAGTGTGGGTATGGAGTGAACACAGCAAAGTCAATGAAAAGTGTGGGTATAGAGTGAACACAGCCAGAGTCAATGAAGAATGTGAGTACAGAGTGAATATAGCCAGAGTCAATGAAGAATGTGGGTACGGAGTGAACATAGCCAGAGTCAATGAAGAGGGTGGGTATGGAGTGAACACAGCCAGAGTCAATGAAGAGGGTGGGTATGGAGTGAACACAGCAGAGTCAATGAAGAGGGTGGGTATGGAGTGAACACAGCAGAGTCAATGAAAAGTGTGGGTATGGAGTGAACAC